TATTGTAAAAAAGTACATAGCATACCTTATGCATGTCTTGTAGAAGGAGATTTACAAGAAAATGACGATATGATGTTAACAAACTTAGTTGTAATTGATTAATAGTTTATAAACATGTTACATTCTAAATAAATAAAATATAAATCTATAATTTTATGAATTTGCTAAATATTATGTTAAGCTAGATAAATTTAGGTTTAAACAATATTCAAAATATAATATTTAAGCAATTTTCATCATTTTTTCTTAACCCTTTCAGAGTGGTTATCATTTATAACAAAATAATTTTATAAACATTGACATGTTATTCGAAAAAGCTGCGAAAACTAGAAATATTAACAATTATGTGTGACATTTTTAACAAAGAAGGACAAATTTATCTTCATTTGCAGTTATCAAAATTCGTCTGCAGACACTTTATACAGTATTTTTTCCCTGTCATAGCATTAAAGGGGTTAGCCAAAACTTATACAAACATTCTTGATTATGTGTATTTTTTACTAGTCAAAATTAAAATTAACAATATTTTGTTAATTTCTTAATTAAATTTTATAATGTGATTTTTGGGAGTAACGTGTTTTCAAAATTGTGTCTTAAAATAATAAAAGCATAAACTTAACAAATATACGGCGTATATTATTGTAAAATCTTTTCATTCATATTTAAAGAACAATCTGTGGGGATACATAATACTAATTTTTTCAATGTTATAGATATTCGATTTATGTTTCTTAGTTAGATTTTTAATGGTTAAAAAAATCAAAAATATTTCTTCTAACATACACGCTATAAAAAATCCCTATATAATTATATTTTTTTGTAAATTGGCTGATTAAAACATAAACGGACTGTTATATTATATCAATTTTTTATGTTTTTTAACCCTTAAATTGATGAGAAGAACAGAATAAGATTTTCTAATTATAGCAAATGAAAACGAACTTTTAACTTTATTGTTTTTATAAAATTTAATCAAAGATGAACAGATTTGTAAATTTTGCCATAAAAATGTGCGCTTCATGCATAATTCTAAAAATCCTGATAAGTTCGAATTGGGATCTTAATTATATGGTTGTCACTACTATCGGACAACTATCTCTTTACAATCCAATTTTGAGTCTACTATTTTAAAAATAATATTTAAACAATACTAAAGGCAAATTATTATTTCGCGTGTTATGATAATTACTCTTAATTATTGAACATCCGGGCTTGAGAAAACTTTAAAAGAAGCTGCAAAAATTTTAATAAACTAATTGCTTTTTTCTCATTGAAAATCCTATTAAACTGAAATGTTTTTATATTTTTGGGCATATATAGATGAAATTCGGGTTGAGTTATAATGTTAATGGTCATAGATGTAACTACGTACAAGCCTTTTGGTATGTCTGCATCGTAGACAAGCATTTAAACCTGCACTAGGATATGCTATTTTTGTAGGTTTTAGATCTTCAAGCGTTCTTTTTCCTTTAATTAATTCTATTGTCAAAGCAGGAAATATTATACACTCTGATGAAATAAAATCTTATAGATGCTTATCTAACTCAGTTGATTATGACTATTTCACTGTTTGTCGTAAATACAATTTTGTAGACCCTATTGCTGGCGTGCATGTGCATAGTCAGCACGTAGAATCTTATAATATGAGCTTAAGTGTAAATATAAGCAAGAAATGGAGTAACTAGAGCTTAAAAAAAGGCAATTTTTATTAGAATTAATCTTTAGAGAGCAGCATGCTGTTGAAAATTATTATCTTTTATGAAATTGTTTTTTTTAACGGGGGACTGAGAAAATCGGATCCTATAAAACTACTAAATTTAATGTAAAAGTGTTTTTCTATTAAGAACAAATCTTTTATGATTTATTAATTGTTATTTTTTTCTAAACTCGTTTCTTTGTTTTCGAGTTAAATGTTATTAAATTGTCGGTACTTTATAACAAGTATAGGATTTTAACGTATTTGTAAATTTCAACTTCGTTTGTTAACAATTCTAAAAAATTTTATAATATGTGCCCCCTTTTTCCTATGTAAAGTTATGTAGATTTTTAAAACTAATATTGTATGAAGTTTTTTTTTATTTATTCACTACAATGCTAGAGTAAATAAAAGATTTATTATTTTTAAAATATAGAAAAAAATGAATTTTTCATTGTGAATAAATATTAATACCGCAAAATTATAAATTTTTAACTTTGAAATTCTTTCTACGTATAAATTGTAAAGATCGACCCACAGGTTAAGCCCTTTGCGGCTTTTAATTACTTAAGGATAATTAATACTTACATGCATTATCGATATTTTAGATATAAAAAATATTTTTTTATTGTTAATTTTACTAGAAAACAAATAAATTATTAAAAAGAATAAATGCAATGACCAACTATGTTATAAAATAATACAAATATCCTTTTTAAAAACTTTAATGTTAATCATTTTTTATCAAATATTTCTCTTAATTGTAATAGTTTACGATAAAATGAATTGAATCTTCTGTCAACAGAAAATATTAACCAATTAACTTCATAAAAATCACAACTAGAAATACAACAAAAAACGCTATCATCAACCTTATGTATATTTTTACAAATCAATTTAAAAATTAAAAGTTTTTGAGATACGTCTTCATACCTGCTAAATTGATAACATGCTAGATTTAATGAATTTATAAAATCTTCCTTATTTTTCTTTTTCTTTGTATTAATATATATTTCACTTATCGTATCTAAAAAACTTGAAAGATTTCTTAGAGCAAGAATTGATTTTTGTTTCAGGTCATCAGAAAGATTGAATATTTCAAGTTTCTTAATAAATTGTGAAATTTGATTTTTAATTTTACGTTTATATAAATTTCTAAACCTCTTTTCAGATTGGTTGTATTTCTTATAAAGTTCGCGCTCTTTAGCTGTAAATTGATTCTTATGAATTGTTTTCCTAGTGTTTCTTTTAGGTTTCAAAGTAATTTCATTACCATTTATTTGTATATTAGATACTTTGCTAGTTTTAAATTTTTTTTCTTTATCTTCCACGTTGTTATCATTTTTGTAAACGCTATTTAAAAAAGAACCAGTTTCGGAATTCATAATCATTAATGAATTATAACAACCAAATTGTGTATTTATAAGAGAATTATTTGGTTTATTTATATAATTAGTTCTTATGTTTTGCATATCATAATCTGATATACCATGATCACTTGTCTGTAAAAAAGCGATATTTTCTGGATTGGCAAGTTGTCCTTGTAATAAATCATTTTGAGTTGTACAAGAAAATAAATTCGTATTATTATTGCAAAATGTATTTATGTGAGAGTAGGCCAGCGTATTATTTTGGCTACTATTGTATTCTTTAAAATGTGTGGTATCATAAACCAAATGTTCCATCGTACAACTTTGTTTTTCACATTTCGTAGTACTGGGTGTATTACTTATGCAACTATTTGGCAGAGAGTCGCTTTCTGGAGTTATCGAAGACAAAAAGTTACTAAAGTCACATTCTACACTCTTGCATGCATTATTATAACCTTCGTCGATATAACATGCCAATTCATTTAATATATTAAGATTGGATGGGGATTCATAAAAATTTTTATCTTCTGTGTAAACCTGTTCCTGAATCTTTTGTTGTGTATCTTCTTTTTCACAAAATTCTGTAATTTTAAATATCTTTGTGTATTCTGATGTATTCTCTAGATCTACCAATAAATCAAAATCTAAAAATTGCATCGAACAAAAAATTGTCTGCAACCAATATAACATTTAACGGTTAAAAAATTTAAAAAAGAATTGTTTGAACATTAAATATATAAATCAATATTTTATGTTATTTATATATCACATTGTACTAGATACAACGTTCTTATAATAATTGACAATCTTTGATATTTCTTATGAATTAAATAAAATGCAACTGAAAGCAATAGTAATTATAGGAGGACAGTAAAGATGTTGACATGTCAATCAGCAGTATTGGGTTGATGGCTTTGACATGTCTGTTATATAAATAATAATTATTAAATAAACCCATGTTTTATCCCAACAATTATAAAATTTAAAAGTACTAATTTACACTGAACAACCAAAATTAATAAAAAAAGAACAAATCTTATAATTATGTATTTATGGTATTATTGTCTCAAAGGAACGAATAAAAAAGTATAGCCACGGCAATGCGCCTAACTATCGAAATAATTGCATTCAATCTGTTGGAAAGAGAAATATAACAACAAAAATGCTTCATAAAGAAATCTTCTTTTTTGTTATAGCCCCGTGTCAGGTAACCAAAACGAAAGTTGGTTTCTAATAAAAAGTAAATAATTTTATTGTTTTTGTATTTTTTAAGGTTCTTCTTTGAGTAGCCTATATTTGTGGTAGTTCGTTCCATTTGTCAAATAATTTTTTATTACCCTTCTTCTACAATTTTCGAATTTATAAAAAGTTCATAAAATTGTCGGAAAAAGGGAAGATAATAATTTAAAGATGGTATTACTTTTAAACTATAAATAATTAAATGTTTCTTGAATCATGACTTGAAAAAACTAGAGTTGATTAAAAGTATTCAATAAATATTAATCTAAAATAAACTTTGTTATACTAAAAATTTGTTTTTAGACGAATAAAGAAGGTATTTTATTTTTTTAGTTAAAGTAATCATCTTACAAAAATGATCATATTAAATAGTTTAGTTAATTCAAATTTAATTTATTAACAAAATTAATAATAGTTTTGACTACCTTATGAAAAATAACAAAATTTATAATCAGCGATTTGTCGTGCACAGCACAACCTCTAACGGCCAATAAAGAATGAAACCACATACATTTTCGTGTATCCTGCGGTACTATCAGTTTAGGATGATACATTAAACATACTTTTTTGTCATTGTTGTATTATAAGGAGGAAAAACTACTTAAGAAAAGTTACATCGATAAAATTTTATTTTTATTAAAAATCGTTCTTTTACACATTTCAATTTGTACAATGTTTTTGTCCGGAACAAGCATCGTTCCGATCTAGGTTCTATCAGTATGCTTTAAGATACATCATTTTGTGTGTATTAATATCACAAAAATGCTTTGTTGGCTCACCACCTAGCCTGGACTGTTAATTTTTTACTTTTAAAAACTAAACAATTAAAAAATAATTTCATTATCAAAAGACGCAATTTAAAAAAGGCCTGCTATTTTTGAAGTAATGACTTTATGACACCACTTATATATTTAGAAATAGTTAGGTATAATAACCTCTTAGTATACTTCTGCGTACTTCTACTATGTTGTAATTTAATTCCGATTATACGCTTTCAATAAGATTTGTCATAAGTTCTCGTTGTTTTTATTAAAAGCATTGTCATGATTTACGACAATATGTCTTCCTTTAATAGGCCCTACAGCAATGGGTAAAGTTTATGTCCGTCTATTTTTATCGTAATAATTTTTCTACAAACTTTAAACCATTCATTCATTGTTTTTGCAGAAGTATTAGACACTATTTTAAATAGCAATTCACTGTTATTTTCTTGCACACAGCCAACAAGCTGGTTTGTGTTCATTACAAGCTCTTTAATCTCACTTGGGCCTTTTCACAATTTTCCTATTGCAATAACCTTTTTTTCACCCGTAAAAACTCTTAATATTCTTAATTTTACTCGTAATTCTTTCGTTTTCTTTTTATGCGTTTAATAGAGATTGTTTTTCATTTTTAAAATACAGACATAAGATATCCAAGTTTTATTAGAAATATGTTAAGGATATAACTTAGTTACCCAAAGATAAAGTATACTAAGATATTCATAAAAAGTACGTTTGACTTTGTAAAGTAAGCTCCTTGCAAGAAAACCATTGATTTTTTGCAAATTTGGTTTAAATAAGCATTTCTGTATTGGTTTATGTAGAAAAGGTCTTGAATTATATAAATTACATACACCACCACAATTGTATATGGATAATTTTTCCTCAATTGCCTATTTTAACACTTTGTTATGGTTTGAAGTATTTTTTGATCTCATATTTTGTGTTCTAAACTTATAATTAGAAAGGTTAAAAAATAAATAATTTTTACGTCATTTTGTTTTCCATGTTCAAATTAATACCATGAAGTTTAACTCAAAGCCCGAATTGAGACGAATGAGTCGCTTTTTCTAATTTTTAAAGATACACACAAGATCGATAAACAAAAAAAGGGTCAAAAATAAAAATGTCAACGTTTAGTTTAATAAACCCTTTAACACTCCTAATTGTCGAAAAGAAATTTATATATTAAATTTAAGTTTCTAATAATATAAATTGTTGTAACCTTTAGTAGGATGTCCAAACTTTAAGTGTTGTTCTATGTAAGAACAAATAAAAATTTTTTATTATTTAATATTTTATTAGCTTTATCGGGCATCTTCGTATAATAAATGCCGTTGTTATGCTTTTGGTCATGCTGAGCTTTTTTGTGTTTATTTCTTAATTTTGTATATCCCTTCTTTTTTTATTTTTAATTTATACCAAAATTTATTAAAATTTTTGGAGGGACAGTATTTATAAATAATTTTTCTATAAGTAAAAAAAAAAAACTTCTATCATATTTGTAATCAAATTAATCATCAAAAATTGGTTTAAAAAATCGCTGTATGTTGTAATAAATTGTTTAAAGTATTATTTTAATGATGAATAATTGAAAATATTGATTAATTTTTTTATCTTACATGCCTCTCCTTTATAAATTTATTTAAATATTTAAAGTAATTTTGGCATATTTAAGGGGGCTAAATTAAATCAAGACAGATTTTATAATTTTTAATTTTACAATTACAATGATACAAATGTCTTTTGTACAAAATTTTTTGATTACCAAGTATGTATAAAAGCATAACAAAATTATGAAATTTTTTAACTTGACATAAAAAAATTTTAAAAATTAATTTATTATAAGTCCAGTAATTTTTTTATTTCAAACAAATAAAAATTTATTTATTAAATGTCATAGCGTTTTTGTAATTTTTAGAAAAGAAAGATTAGAAATTTTTACTGAGTATAGAAATTAAAAATTTATTTCAAAAAGAGCTTTAAATGACATTACAATTTATATAACATTCGAAAAATTATTAATTATTAAATTCAAATTTTTATAAATCTTTTAAGTCAATTAAAATAGTTTAAAAAAAGATATTTGGACAAACAATCATGTATAATGATATTGACTGTAGTCAGTATTATAACAATATCGCCAATATAAGGCATTTTCACTCAACATTATAAATTACAAAAAAAACTTATTAAATTAGAAATTTTAAAAAAAAAGGTAAGAAAAAATTATAAAAAATTGTAAGGCTAAAAACACCCTATTCGGCCAAAAATAAAGGTCCTGAAATTTTTAAAAAAATATTCTTAAAACGAAATTCAAAATGTAAAAACAGGAAATTTTAAAATGAAAAATTAGATCTAACTGCTGATTCATTAAAAGCACATACAACTATACAATGGATGAATATTAAAGTAATTCTTTAGTAACATATATCTGACAAAATAGCGATTAATTAATTTTTAGTTCTACACCCAAAAAGAACAAGTGCTTTTACAGCAAACCAAGTTCTTTCTATAGAATTTTTGTGTACACCGGTAACATGATCTTTAAAATCACTATTATGATATACAGTCTTGTGATTAAAATTATATTTTTTAAAATTACCATATCTGCTCCAGAAATCACTATACGTTGTAGTCCCGGGCTCGATGCTATCCTTAATTTTCGTTTACAAAGTGAATTTTGTACGGCTATTAACTTGGAATAGCAAAACACCCTTTTTGTATTCCCTTTCCACAAGACCAAAAATTTAAACACCCCTTTAAATTGATCCTTGTTGTATTTTTTTTTGCCAAACTTAAACTTTAATTCATCAATTTCTATTATCTTATTTTCATGTTCAATTAATTACTTTTTTATAAAATTTTTCAACCAAAAGCTCGGAAACCTTACGTAAAGCATAGAAACACATTTTTTAGAAATTTCTAAAACACATAAAATTCCTGTGTTGTTAATTTTTTGTAACTATAATTCAGTTATTTTTATAAATTTTATTTTACAAATCTTTTCTCCATGAAAAAGGGTATTTTGCCATATAGAAGCTCGTTTTTTGTATTTTGGGATCAATTTATCTTCCATCTTATATATTGATACATTATCTCATTTTCTATACAAACATCTTCTTCGCATGTTTTACACAGAGTTCAATAAATTAATCTGATAAAATTTAAAATCTGCTCCTTAATACCTTTCTTCTTTAACATGTTAAATTTCTTCTTAGGGGTATTCTTAAAAAAATTTAACAACTTTTAATTTTGGCCGAACAATGTATCTTGCTCCGAATAATGGTTGGAATAACAATATTCCAATCCTATTGCATCAACGTTTTTGTGGAAATACAGGCAAATAAGCGCCCAGAATTTTTTAATAGCCAATGAGATATGTTTCAATGATATGTTTGTATTAAAGAACAAAATATTTTAGTTATAGTTAACAGTTTGGTATATCACCGAAATATTTCCACTTGTTGATCCATATAGTAATTAATACCACAGTGTAATATAAACTTATCTTATTTCATTTGTTGTAATCTGTTTATTTTATAGTGCAAAACTATAAAAATTAGTTGTAAATATACCCCAAGTATTGGAATATACAGGATGAAGAACGAGAAGTTTTCAGACAAGAAAGATTACAATTAAATATTCGCGCTTGAAAAAAAAAATTTTAAACATGACATGCATATTTATAAAAGAAGGTAGGCTTAAAACATTTATTTTTCTAAAATAATTTTACAAATTGGTGTATGCTTATGTTTGTAAAACAGCGAATTCTGCTTAAAGTAATTTTAATAAATTTTATTTTAGTAGCCTTCTTTGGTCTATTTTATGGTCGTGTTTTTTCTCAAACTATACTTGTATAAATTATTTCTTTGTTTATCTCCATGTTGTCGCTAAAGAAAAAAAACAAATTTATTTAAATAATAAATTTTTTATGTATAAATCACTATCTTAAATATAATAAAGATCATGAATTTTGAAATGTGGATAAATACCACACTAATAGTGTAGACCTGACAAAAAACTCGTTTGATACTCTAAAAGGCTTCTCGTTTTAAACTATTTTATGTGTTTTGATGTTATAGCTCTGTATTGTGAAGAAATAATTAAAATTTTGTAAAGTATTAAAAGTCAACTTTTTTAATCTTATTATAAAATAACCAGTTACAATCTAATAGCAACATTTTTGATAACTATTTTAATTACTAAAGGAATATCAAAAAAAATAATATAAGAAGCTGTCCAAAATTTTGTAATGTATTAAACGTATCTACGTACATAACTTATTTCTACATAAGCGATGCGTGCAATTTACAAATTTTAATTTTCTTTTTACTAAAAATATTATATTTTATAAATGTAAATTGGCGTAATTTTTTTGAATATCACCTAATAGTGTTATATTGCTTGATCATACTAAAATAAAGGAATGAATATTACCTTGAGGTTTAAATTTACCTCTAACACTTGTATTAATAAGCTTTTTGTTTTTTTATTCTTCTGGTTGGTCATTAAAAATAGTCGATTTTGTTTGAAGGATTGAGATTCTTTTATTTTATTTGTTATTAATCATCGTGATTTTAATATTTTACAGTAAACAAATAAACAACAAAAATGCATGTGAAATTAATACTATCAATAAACAAATATTATATAGTAAGATACAAACAATATTTCAAAAATTTTAATTGCTAATCGATTTTTCCATACTTTCTTTCAATTTAAATAGTTGTTTGCTAAAATAATTAAATCTCTTATTTATACCAATTAACATCTGTTTAATTTTGTTAAAATCATAATAAGAGAAGTGCAAACTTCTATTGCTCACCAGTAAAAATTCATTATAAATTAAGTCGAGAATTAAAAAGTTTTTAGAAACATCGGCATAGTGGCTAAATTTAGCGCACGTTATATTTAACAATTTTAAAAAGTAATGCATCGATGGCTGATTTGTATTTATATATATTTTACTTATATCAACTAAAAAACTCGAAAGGCTAGCTAGAGCAAGAATTAACTTGTTTTTTAAATCATCTGTTAAATTCGATGTTTCAAGTTTTTTTATGAAATGTGGTATTTTATTACTTATTATAGTCTTACAAAAAAACCTAAATTTAACCTCAAAATTTTTGCAGTTATCAAAAATTCTACGCTCGTTTACCGTAAATTGATAAACTAAAAATGTATAATTATTTTCTCGTTCACATTTTAAAGGATCTGAAGTATTATTTTCTTGAATATTAAAATTTGTATTGGTTCCTGATTCTTTATCTTTCCCATTATTATCATTTTTATAAGCGTTATTAGAGAATGTATTAGTTTCGAAGCTGTTAATTGTAGATGAGTCGTAAACATGAAATAATTTATTCATTTGATCATCCTTTGAATCATTAATGCGTATGGTCCTAAGATTATTCGTATAACGATCTGATAAACTTGAAACATCATCATTTGCTTGAATAAAAGTATGATTTTCTTGATTAACATATCGTCCTTGTATTAAATTGTTTTGTGTCATATGTAATGGTAGATTAGTATTATTGTTGTAAAATAAATTCGTGGCAAAATTATAAATTTCATCATTTTGGTTACTATAGTGATCTTCAAAGATTGTTGTGTCATTAATCAGTTGGTTTATTGTACAAGATTGATTTTCACATTCATTAGTAATAAATGCAGGATGTGTGCGGTTGTTCAAGAAAAATTCGCTTTCTGAGGTAATTGTAAATAGAAAATTGTTTAAATCATTATCTACATTTGTATTTTCAATATTCAAACTTTCGTTTATAAAGTTTGTCAAATCATTTAATAAAATAGACTCAGGTGGATTTTCATCTAAATATTTATTTTCTATTTCGGTTGAAGCTTGGCTCTTTTGGTATATCTCTTTCTTTTCACATGCTTTTAAGGTATTTGATGTATTTTCTAGATCATCCAAACAGTCAAAGTTTAATATTTGGGTTGAACAAAAGATTGTCTGCAGCCAATATTGCATTAAAGGCTAAAAAAATATGAAAAGATATTAGTCAACAATAAAAATTTAAAGTTCTTTTTTCTATTTATACAATAGAATATATTCAATGTGTTATATCAAGCTGTGACAAAAACATAACTTTAAATTTTTATTGCAAATTACAAATAAGAAATAAGAGTGAAAAAAAATAATGAGGTTATTGTAAAAGCAATTTATAAACAAATTTTAAGAGCACTATATAAAAAATAAATTAAAAAGCTGTGTAAAAAGACTCTAAATACTGGAATGACAATTAAGTAAATATACAATACAAAACTAAGATCTTCTTTAAAATAAGGGAGAAAAATAGGAGAAAATGCCATCTAACTCCAGACAAAACTTACAAAAATATAAATATAGGCATAATTTATAAGAAAAGCAACCTTTTTAATATTTTTAGCAAAATTGGGGCCTTTTAAAATTTAATTCAACTATAAAATTGTGCTAACTACCTTTAAAATTTCTCCTTAGAACCTAAACAATATCGTTAGCCTTTTTAATTGTTAAAATTTGAAAATTTTGCTTAAATTTTAAGGTTTATAATTAAAGTAAATTGGTGGGATGCGGCTTGCTTGAAGATAGGACCCCAGAACGCTAATTTTGTCGCCGAATTTTCCAGTTACCCAACCTGTTAAAAGAATTATTCTTATACAATAATTTATAGATATGCACTTTTGGTGCTTTTTTATGATTTTTATCTTAACGCCGTTTTGTTGTTTATATTTTTTGTTTTGAACTTATTTATATTTTTAGGTTTTAAAATACACCAAAAAATATTTAAAACAATAAATACTATTTATTCCTTATATTGTGATTTTTCAATAATAATTAAATTATCTGTGTGATAGTTCACTGCAATCACTATAGATTTGTACATGGCTTTGATAATTTAAGTTATCTTTAAAATTTATAAAATTTAACCTTATGAAAATAGAAATCAACGGTAGAAAATTGTAGTTGTTAAATATACTATTATAAGCACACTCGGTTATTAACATCGCTTCAATTCATGTTTTTTTGATTGTAAAAGGTAAAATAGACGCAACAACTTAAAGATGTGTTAAAAAAGAATATTAGAAAAGGTTTTTATATTTTAATCAATATTTTCTCTAGCAAAAGTCGTTCAACTTATTTTTTGTTTATTGTTAGATACTGACTATTTCCAGCTCTGCAATTTATTTAGATTTTGAGATGCAAAAATAGATAAGTATAAAGCTTTGCTATTAGGATGTTACAAATTGTATATTGATTTACATCTTGTTATCATAGGAATGCCTGAATCATGTTCAAAATGACCGAAAATATTCTGTCACGACGTCGGGTTATTTGAAATACTAATAATGAAGTTGGCAAACAAGATACTATTTGAATTATTGGCAAAATTGATCGAACAAGCGAGAGAAATTTACTTTTTCTTAGTGTTGTTGATCGTACAATTCTTTCTTTATAAAAATAATAGATCCTTATGTTAAGTAATGAAGCATATAAACTCTGATGGTTATTCTTTTTTTCGCTATTGCAAGAGGCCACAATCTACGTCATTATATTGTTAATCATTTAATTTGATTTGTATCACAAGGCGTAACCCATCGTACTAAAACAAAGGATTTTTTTAGCACCGTATGAAAAGCAAAATACGAAAATAAAATAGCATTTATATAAATTAAATTGATAATAAAATTTTTTAATATACATTTAGAGGAGATGTATTATGAGCATTAATAGTACAGAGTTTACCGAGATTTATAAAAAGATTTTACCAGTCTTTTTTTGCTTAAATAGGTAATACTTACTTTTAACCCTTTTCTCGAAAAAAATTTGGCGGAATTTTTAAGAAATCCCCAAATTTGATATTGTAATATAGAAAAAAAAAAGTTTTCTAATAATCGATTTTATTTTGTGTTAAATTATAGCTTTTTTATTCTTAACATATTGTAAAGTTTACTTTAAGATTTAAATATTAAGACAATTGCAGTTGACATTAATATATTAGATATAAATATAAACTTAAAAGCATTTTGTAGCGATATTTAAATAACTTTTAAAACGTTTTAAAACTATACAAGACTATTATATCGTAATAACAAATAAAGAAGAACATATTTTCTAAATTTAAAATATACGTACATAATCATAAATTGGAGATCGCAAAATTATTTTGTAAAATGTTATAATTATTATAAATGTAGCTAAATACCAATCAAAATTTATTTTATTTAAAAGATAACTATGTTGTTAACTAATCATTTACTTTTTAATAGTTTATAATTTTAAAGTAAAATTTAGTTATTTTTTGTTTTAGTAACAAATAAGGAAATTTACAAGGTTATGGTGTATAGATCAAGGTCCATGGTTGTTGTATGCGTATTTAATTACTTAATTAATAACAATATATAATTTATATTGATACTTATCAAAAAAAACTTTTAGTTAAGTATTAGAAATTTTTATATCTATGATGATTAAATAAATCCCTTCTTAAAAATTATTAATTGATGCTTTTTCACATGTCTAGTGTAGCCTATGAATTGGCATTTCTATATTTTTTAATATAAAAATATTTAAATTAGATTTTTATTATTAAATTAAAAATGTAAATATTTGAATTTGTTTTTAATGTTAAATTATCTAAATTTATTCATTTATGTATATATGTAACGTGCTTGCCAGAAATTGTGCCTATGGCAAGAAAGCATTTAATGATGCCACGTGAAGGCTCGTAAATTCCTGGATAAAGAGTGTTTTTGTTATAATAAGTTTTATTTGTATAGATGTTGCTATGATTAAAAGGTATGCAATAAGTAGAACTATTTTTACTCATATCTTTTAATTAATTTTCTTATTTATATTTATGTTTAACCAATAAACATAATTGTTAAAAGAAAGAAGCAATACCTAAATTAAATCACTAATATGTGACGTTTTTAATTAATAGAATAAATTATTTGTTCATTATAAAAATGTAGTATGAGGATTATACTACATCATGTTTAGTAAAATAAATTTATATTTTGTTTCGACAATAATATTATTTATTTTTTTGTTTATTTAATTTCATCTTTTAAATTAATTTTTTTGTTTATTAATTTCATTATTTAAATTAATCTTTTTGACATCCCATGAAATGTTTTATATATTTTTTGTTTATGTTTAGTATCTGTCATGAAATATTATTTTTAGTTTACGAGGACAAAAATAAATACACTGCTTATTTGGGTTTAGATTATGAGAGTTATAATTTTATTAGTTGCATATATAGCATTGAAAATTCAATGTTTTGTTCCGAATGCTGTATTCGATCTAAACTTTTAAACATTCAATACATGCGAAGTGTTTTTACCAAGCACGGTCATGACTACGTAAAATTTGAAATAATTAATAAAAATGAAATGATTGAACTTAAAAATACTTTAATTGCTTTAACCTCAATGAATAAAGGGCAAAATATGTTAAAAGAAGAATTTATCAGAAATAGTAAAACCATTTTAATTACTAATTTTAAGGTTAATTTTCAACGTAGTTATTCAATTTGTCAAAAAATATTTCATTCAAGTCAAAATAATATTTTTTCTAGTTCATCGTGTGATTTTTTTATTGATAGAGAATCAAAATTTTATGACTGTAAGTTGACTAACGATATTAATTTAAATTTTAAAGGCAAACCATATACCATAGAAGAGTTAAATAGTTTACAAGATAATAAATCTATATTATATACGTTCAATAATATAGATGAATTTAATGAAATGTCTACAGACACGAAATCAAAAAGTAAAAGAGAATGTAAAGAAACGGATAATACTAAAAATATTCAAGAACATTTTGAGTCTACATATTTAATGAAATTTTTTTTACTATTTATTTCTATTTTGACAATAGGAATAGGTATGTTTTTGACATTTTTTAAATTATTTTAAAATAATTTGAATAAATTTTTTGTCACGTTCTAAACTATAATTTTTTTATTTAATAATAACATAGATTTTAAAGCATTTTAATGATTCTCATGTAAAATTTTTTATTATATAATCTAAAATAATTATGTTGAATTTTAGATACTGAAAAGCCACTTTTATTTAATTATGTAAAAATCAATAATGGCATAATAGACCTTTTGACACTGCTTATTTTTTACCTCTTTCATTATTAAGAAAAACTTAAAGTATTTCTCTGAAAAATAATTGCCCAAAAAAGTAATTTCTAAATATATTTATTATTTTATATAATTGACTTTTGAAAAAGCGTTTCTCTATTCTCTTTAAAACAATTTAATTCTTTTTTTATTAATACTACCAGCTTTTAAAAAAAATATTTAAGATGTTTTTACAGGTTTTAAATTTTATTTGTGTGTGCTCCTTGAACATTACAAATCCAACAGAGTAGTAACCGCTTCATGAAATGATCTAAATCCAATTACAGCTTTGGGTAAGATGGATAACTGTTAGATACAATGATAGATCCAACTACAGCATGTTTTCAAACATGTCCCGGATAGAAATGAATTTTACAGCAAAATTCATAAAGTTTCCTAATCTACTTTTCAAAAAATCATTGTATATTAGTTTTATTAAGGTTCTAGATAAATTAGATATTAATTTTTTTAAGGTTCTAAATGAGTAAGATATTAATCTCCTTTTACAGATAGCACCTCTATCAACCTATACCTCAATACTCTCTCCACCCATTTTGACTCATTCTGGTTCTTGTTTAAATATCACTTGCAATAATAACCTTTGATTTTGATATAGATATTCTCTAAACAATTGCAGAATTCAACGAACCGAGTTAGAGTAGAATCATATGCGCAGCAATACATTTCCGTTAAAATTTTTACAAGCTTTATATTTAAAGAGGCCATTTTTGTTCTCTCCTTAAGGCCAATCTAAAATCTACACACCTTCGAAGAGTATATGTACATATAATTTCTATATAATGACGAGCATTTGTTCCTCATTACGCAGCTATAATTAGCACAAATTATTTTAGTTTTAACTTAAATTGTGTTCTAAAAAAAGTTCTTTAGTCTTGTAATTTTCTAAAAATATATCGTTATTGAATTTAAAAGGCAACATTTTTTTTCTTAACTACTCCCATTATAAAGGTTAAAAAAATTTTTTTTACTTTACCCAATCTTTACAACTCCATTGAATAATAACATGGCGAAATTTTTTTGAAATTTACGTAGTTATTAGAAATAATAGAAAAGATGAAGTGGCACCTAGTTTTTATTTAAATTCTGCCACTTTTTCATTTTGACTTTTGATTTTGGATGCCTATAATTTTTAAAAAAGCAAAAATGTGTATTATTATCGTCCACTAAGCTAATGATTTAATATTGAAAAATTTACAAATTTTATGTTCAAAAATTTTTATACTAAACAACAATAATTTAAATATTTTACTAACTTTAATTTTATATCTCTTTTTGCAACTAATAAATATTGTTTAAAATATATTTAGCACAAAAAAATATATATCTGTTGTTTATGTAACGTAAATTTTTGTTTGGTAATTGAACAATATTGAATGCAATTTTTAATTTATTTGGTTTTATTAAATGTAACATCACAATGAGTAATTAATAATATGCAATGGCTCATATGTGGAGAAATAAATAATTTAAACTTAGCGTTAAAAATTTATTTAACCAAATAGATTATAGCAAGATAGGAATCAATTTGATTTAAAATTTTTTAACATTTACATTTAAATATAAAACAATAAAGATTTAAACTCTTTAATATATAATAAGCAATTAACATTAAATAATAAATGTAAATCAATAATAATTTAAGAAAAAAAAGATTATAGCATTTTTTATATTTTATTAACTAAAGTCAATTAATTTTGATATACTGTGTAATAGAACTTAAAAATTGTAATGTCGTTATGTTTTTCTATAGAAAGTATGACACATTTAATTATTTTTTAATAAAATTACAACTTTTATTAAATATAGATTTTACGTTGATTTTATTATTTTATTACTGCATATGTATTAAATATATTTTTAATTTAAATTAACAAATAGTCTAACAACCCCGTATTCAAAGCGAACATTTCTTTACAATTGTCAAATTAAGATTTTTAAATATCAAAATGGCCATCTTTTGCACCAAAATTAATTTATAATTGAATTTATTAAATAATGATAAATTGATTAAACCCCAAAATAAATAAAATATCAGTTTTGCCCAGCACAAACAATGGCAAATAAATATCAAAAAACATTTCTTTGTTTGTATTTACCCTAAAGAACAATTAGTCCTTAGCTCATTAGTTAGCATAAAGATTTATTATTGGTAACAAGTAAGAACTAAAACCATTTAAAAAATAATATTTACAATAAATATGGCTTTCAATAAAATGCATTTTTTCCACATCTCAGTCTTTATAATGTTTTGTCCAGAATAAGCACTGTTCCAACCTAAATTCCAATCATCAGTATAATGCCTTCTCAAAATAATTCTCTATTTTTTCTTATTTTATTAAGGGTTATAAAATTTTTTTTTAATTTATAAATTTGTTTACATTTAAACAGATGCACAAAAAAAGTAGAATCAATATAAAATAATATTCAAAATTAAAATCCATAATACAACATTTGAATAGCTTACTTTTTCAATATTTTTTTTATTTAAATACATACAAAAAATGTAGAACTAATTTGCTTCTCAAAATAAAGGGCTAAGCAAAAAATCATAAATTACTAATTTTTAATTTTAACCTTCTTGTTTCAATTTCATCGTTTATTTAACTTAATTTATACATTTTATATATTTTTTTTTAATATAAAAATATATATTTGGATTAATAATTTATAAAATTAATTTTTTAAATGGTACTAAATTAAATTGTTTTTTTATATTCTTTTATATATTTAAAATCCACAAACTAAAGTTAAAGGATGTTTTCATTATTTATTTTATAAAATATTAATTTTTTAAATTAAAAATAATGAAAATGCCCATGGCCAAATTTAATGTATTATTTTGGATGTTTTATATTAAGTCATTACAAATAATTCCAGTAGTTCCACAAATACAGAAGATGTATGAAATTGATTTGAGAACTACTTGTCCAACAAGATATGACTTTTATATAAAAAACTTTAATTCATCAAATATTTATATTCCGATTATGGTCGAAATCAAATCATCACAATCTAATATTCAAAGATTTGTTTGTATTCATTTTAATCGAGCAACTAATACCTACATTAAAAATTTATATTATTTTTTAAAAGATCTTACAGAAACTAATCAGATATTTTATAAATTTTCTTTTACCACAGCTTTAGGAAAAAACAATATTCTTAAAACGCATATTCCAACATTAAAATCTAAAGAAAGCTTAGGATCTCCACATGATACTTTAATTAAAAAAAAAACCGAAAATATTAGCGATATACGTTTAAAAATACAAAATAGTTTTGCAGAATTTGTATTGTTTAACAAGATTGAAACAATTTTATTATCTCGTCAGCTTCTTAACGATCTAACAAGCAAGACTGTTTCAAAAGTTGCGCATTCTTTAGAGAGCAAGGATTACATTTTATCATTTTTTGAAAGAGACTATAGTAAGATTATAAACTTTTTAAAAGAATTTGTTTCATTATTGCAAGAAGATAATGAACTTCTACAGTACAAGCTACCTATATTTTTTATAAATTTTATGAGAAATAACTCAAATAATTTTTGGAAAAATGAGCTTATGCTTTCTGATATAAATTTTTATACTTTTAAAGATATTCATTTATTCACTTGCTTTTTTACAGATTTAAAAAATTTATTTTGTTTAATTAAGAATCCAGATTACAAATTTGAACTCAATGATTATGATCAATATATCGGAACACTTTGTGGTAATCCATCAGTTGCTATTTCAATCCACTTTGAAGAAGATATTGACGAAAAAAATTTAAAATGCTTTGTTTGCAACAAAAAGAAAAATGAGTTAAACTTTAAACTAATGATTGATTCAAAAAAAAGAACTGTTTTTTTAATGTTTGACTTACGTTATCTGAAAGAATCTAATATAACGCAATTAGATTGTATAGTACAGACACCAAATAAACACTATCAATCATGTAATATTGATTTAAAAAATTATTTAAAATAAAATTTTAATAAAATGGTTTCAAAATTTTTACATTAGAGATTAAATTTTATGCCACTGCATTTTTTTAAAGTCTGCATGGTGAAAATTTCTGTTTTTAGCTATAAACATTTCAATTTGTAAAAATCTTTACAAAAAAATAATCACTTTATTTGTTTTTTAGACACTATTATGAATCTAGATAAAAAGAAAAATTGTTTTTAGAGTAAACCTTTATTGTTTTTGCATTCATAATCTAACTGTTGATTTTTTATTTATTCTTAAAACAAATTGCCCCAATTTTTTAGGATTGGCAAAGAAGAAGAGAGTTAGCATTTTGGAAATAGTACTAAACATAAAAAAACAGGTAAATTTTTTTAGATTTGTAGGTAGAAATGTTTTATTGTAAAAAGTTTTAATATTACAGCGTGAATGGATTTGAAAACACATGACCATGTAACTATTATAGTTATTTGATGCTAATTAATGATTAAAGCGACAATAATATGTAAATTTTTTATTATTACATATTAAATATGACATAGCGACGCCATATTTTAATAATTAATAGAACGTATGCAGTGCATAGATTTATCACAACTTCGTTATAAATTTAGCGTTAATAAGTAATACAAAAAATTATTTATTCAGGGCATATACAGTGCGCGTCAAAATCTTAAGACACTGCCCTAAAAACACGGTTCATAGAATTGTCGATAATAAATCAGTTTTAATTTGTTGCAATAGAGTACTGTGTGATTTTATTTTTTTAATATAGGCTAACACAAAACGTTATAAACAATAATTGGTCTTAGAATTAAACATTATAGCGATAAAATTCAAATTTTAAATAAAAACACGTTCTTAAAATAATAGTATCTGTTATTAATGTTTTTTGATTTAGAAAAGTTTTTTTACCTTCTTCAATATATCTTAGCGACATGATGGTTTTGATTTTTTCTAAAAAAAATTATTTATTCCCTAATAAGTAAATGAAATTCTTTAGGTATGTATAAAAAAAAGCAAATTGACGTTTATTATTCATTAAGCAAAAATATTAATCAAATTGGTGTAATTTTCGAAGATAACTAGGAATGTAGTTAGAAATTACCAGATTTCAAAGAGTTTAATTAAAAATATTAATGGAAAAGGCAAGAAAAGGTTCTTTCTTTTGGGACAATAAAAAAAATGTAAAGTATAGGTTCTAGTAAGGCCATAAATATTTCTAAAGTTAAAGCAGATTTAGATTTTTTAGTATTAAAATCTACTGTATTAAGAGCGATTAAAGAAGATAACAATTTTGTATATAAAAAAATGAGACAGAGTTTAAATTTAAAGGTCATGAATAAATTTAAAAAGATTTAAGATTGCTTTAGATAAAATTTTTTAACCAATTAGTGGCACAAAGTTATATTTTCTGATAAAAAAATTAATTTAGACATACCAGATGTATTTAAATATTATTGTCATCATGTAAATGAAATTTCATATATAGTAAATTTATAAAGAGCAAAAAGGTATTATAGTTTGGTCCGGCTTTTATTCTAGTGAACAATTAATTTATAAATTGTTAGTAATAAAATAAACAGCACTGCTTACTGTAGAAAGCTTAAAATATCTCTATTAACATTTTTTGAAAGTGAAAATAATGATTCTAATGATGTAGGTTGCGATTTAAATATATTTTCCAACAAGATAATGAACTTTGCCATCGAGCTCGTGCAACTAAGATATGATTTGAAAATAACAACATTGATTGCATGGATTGGCCAACACCAGGTCCAAATCTTAATCCTGTTGAAAATTTGTGGGCAGATATGTCGAGAATAATTTAGAGAGACGGCAAACAATATAGTAGTATTCAAGATTTGTATTCTGCGATATTAGTAATCTGATCAAGCATTACACCCGAGAATCTGCTAGGCTATGCCAATGGAATGCAGAAACGTATGATTGATGTTGAAAAAGAAAAAGATGATAAAATTAACCAATAATTTTTCTTTTTTTACCAATTACTTTTTTTAGAAAAAATCAAAACCATCGTGTCGCTAAGATATATTGAAGAAGTTAGAATCACATTTCTAAAATTAAAAAACAATAAATAATAGATGTTATTATTTTAAGAACCTGTTTTTATTTTAAAATTTGAATTTAATAGCTATCATGTTTAAATTTTAAACTAATTGTTTTTTTAAACATTTGTGGTAGCTTATATTAAAAAAATAAAATCACACAGTATTTTATTGCAATAAATTAAAACTAATGTATTATTTACTATTTTATGAAACGTTTGAGGAGGGAAATTTTAAGATTTTGACACATATCTTAAGACAAAAAATACGAACAATAAGATTAGACCAATATAGAACAAGATTTGATACAAATTTGTTTGCCACGCTTATCATTAAAAGTTTAGACACAAATTATAATTTTTAAGTTTGGATTGTGTTTTATTTTTTACAAGAATTTTTTTTAGGTGTCTTAAGATTTTGATGCGCACTATATTTATATCCTTTTAGGGTTAAAGCATATTAACTGTTTTAGGTTACAAAAAATTAAATTGTTTAAAAAAAAAACATTGAAATTAGATTTTAAGAAATTAAAACAATAAGAGGCTCTTTTTCAATTAAATATTTGTAAACTTAATATATGATTAAACAAACATTTGATAAAAATCATATCCTGTCTGCATTAAAACGATGGATTTCTTTAAATCATAGGTTTGTTTATTGTATTTACACTTTTTTGTTATTTTAATAATCTGCCATTTATTTTTTTTTACACCCTTCTTATTTTTAAATCAAAGTTCTAATTTTTAATATGGCTGTCGTAAATTTTCATATCATTTTTTGTATTTTATTTATAAGAAGCGGATTTATAGCAGACTACTATTACAATATTTTATCTTATATCGGAGTAGAAAGTGCTAATACACTGACGTTAATAAAGATAGATAAAGCTTACGATTTACACAAACAAGTGTTTAAAAGAAAACAACAACTTAATAAAGAGGATTTTACCGTTCTTTTAGAAGCCTTAGTACTTATGCTTAAAATATCTCCCCACGATTTTAAACTGATAATTTTTGATGAATATTTGGTAGATTTTACTAATAAAAGATCTATAAAGAGCGCTCAATCGATTTCTACTAAACGAAAAAAAAACTTTGAATTTTTACAAACAAACTTTTTTAGCAATTTTGAATTGTATTGCGACCCGCAAAAATGTAAACTGCTCCTTTTCATGACTCAAGATAATAAAGTTCAAATAGGTAACATTTTGTATTTGACCTATGAGACTCATATATTGCTGTATAAATATTTTTTAAAAGAATGTAAAAAATTTACTACAGATGAAAAATTTATAAATATGGAAAAAACATGTCTTGCTTTTTATGGTAACGATGTATCATACTTTCAAGTAATGTTTTGTTATTTAATAAATTTTATTATGACACAATAACATAAAGCAAATATTATTATAATTTGTAAAACATAGTTAATATCCAATAAAATTATTTTAAGACAATATTTAAAAATATTTTTTTCAACAAACAAGCAAATTTATAAAAGAATAAAGGTTTTACATAGTAATTCTTATAAGTACTTTCGATAATATTTTCTGTATTTATAAAAAAAATTTTTACTTCTTTAAACAATAGCTTTGTATGTATAAGTTTAAATATGAATAAAGATGTCGCTATTTTTTGCTTATAAGTTTTACATTAAATATTTAAAGCGTTAAAAATTAAATATTTTTTAATCATATTCCAAAATAAACACTACATGTCTTAAGATAGAATTTTTGTGTACTGTAAAAATAAAAAAAAGCAATAGCAAAAAAATGCTATTAACCCAAACAATTTTTAAATTTTTAGCAAATAAATAAAAAGTCTTATAATATCAAATATATTTTCCAAAATTATGATGTGCATAATCAAAATCTTTATAAAATATTTTGCACTAAAAATATATAAATTTTTACAGGTAGTAAATTTACTTAAGCTAAAAAATTGACTATTTTTAGCTATTTTTTAAAAATATTTCTTAATTCTAATAGTTTTTGTTAAAAGGAAGTAATTTTTCTATTGGTACGAATTATTAAGTATTTAATTTCACAAAAATCAAAATTATCATAGCAAAAGTTTCCATTGCAAGTCATATTTAAACTGTTAAAGATTGATTAAAGGATAAAAGGTTTTTTAATAATATCGACATACCTGCTAATTTTTTTATATTTTAATCCAACAATTCTAAAAAATCTTGTATTGATTTGTGTTCTGTATTTAAATAAATTGCTTTTATAGTAGCTTAAAGCTTAAAATATTACTTAGAGCAAAAATTCATTTGTGCTTTAAGTTATTAGGTAAATTAAATATTTCAAGTTTTTTTATACATTAAAGTATATTACTAATGTTCAATTTAGAAAATCTTCTAAAATCCACTTCAAAACATTTGTATTTGCAATAAAGTTTACGCTTGTTAGCTGTAAATTGACAAATCAAAATTTTTTACATAGTATGCTTTTATTTTTAGATTCTAAAGCATTTTTAACGTAATCAATCCAAATAAAAGAATAAATTTGATTTTTGGTTTTTTCTTTTATGTTCACTTGTTATCATTATTGTAAGCATTAAATGAAGATTTACTATTTTCTGATTTTTTAATCAAAGAATCAATAACATTGGATGGTGTATAAATACTACATTGTTCGGTTTATTCAAACAATTAGTTTTCCCGTGGTAAGATTGATGGTCTGATAAAATTAAAATGTTATTAAATTCCTGTAAAGAAGTGTCGTTTTCTGGATTAATTGATTATTCATGTAATAAATCATTTTGTTTTTTATGTAATAATATATAGGTACTATCATTCCAAAATGTATTCATGTAAGAATGTTCCGTTGTATTCCTTACGGTTGTTTAATTGCACAAAATTGTTTATCTCATTTTTAGTAAAATATTGATTACTTATGCTACTTTGTGGCATAAAATTGCCCTCAAAAGTCATTGAATACATTTTATCATTTCTAAATATTCTAAAAAATTAAAATCTAATATATGAGTTGAACAAAAAATTGTCAGCAACCAACATAACATTTAACGGCTAAAAAATTGAAAAAATACTAGTCAACAATTGAAATATCAATCAAAATTTATTTAATTTATATTATAAAATGGATTTAATTTGTCTCCGTAAACTTTGGAACTAAAAATATCTTAATTTTGGATATAAGTATGTATAACTATTTAAACTGCTTATTCTTCAGTAAGTATTTGCTTACTGATTAAGTTAACTTCTTTTTGCTTTTTGAACATTAATAAACCTTGAAAAAAGTATATTTTTAAATAAATGTAAAATTTAATTTAAATAAAAGATAAGTTTACACAACCTTTCAAGGCGAGATTTAAATATACTGTATTAGTCAAAGCTAATGTGCTTTCTTTTTTAAATGTCTAGTATGTCATTTTAGTAACTCTTTTTGTCTTAAATTTGAAAACTTACCCTCCTTGCCGTGAATTAATTCTACGGTGGCTAAATTACTATTGATTTTATTACTAAACACAACTTAAAAAAAATTCAACTAAGTTATGTTTTGTAAAATAATTAAAACTTTACTATAATGTTATTGTAAAAAAAATTGAAATTTTAAATTGTTAAAAAATAAGAGATAAAAACTAAAAAACTATTTTTTTTTAATATAGATGAATGATGATGATGGTATGTAGCACAATGTCTATTTCTAGGAATACAAAGTTAAAATATGTCTTTTATGTAAATAGTGTAAGTATAAAAAGACGTGTTTACAGATGCGGTTTTAATAAAATAAACATTATGATATCATTTTAATCATAACCCACACATTAAAACATAATAAAAAAAATGCTCAAAATAGGTTTTGTGGCCAAAATTGACATAAAAAAGTTGGACCTTAATTTCTACCTTAAAATTTTAATTTAATAGGTTTGAAACAAAAGAGCACAAGAAAATAGGTTAGAAAAATATAATAAAAAAATATCTATGGATCAATATGTAAAAGTGTTGCTGTGTTGGCAGGGTGCTATCCAGTACACAGATAATTCTCTATGACACTTTTTCCCTAATGCAAAAAGGTTCGTTTAGTGTTTAAATGTTGTTTATTTAATAATTGTTGTAAAAGTTTCTAATTTTATGAATTCAGGTAACCGAAAATCGTATGTACACTGGTACGTAGTTATTTTTTATTTTGCGATTATAATTTAGGGATTCCTTAAGTATTTTTATTAAAAATTTTTAAAATAATTTTTTATAAAAATAAGAAAAAAATCCATGTGGTAATTAATACCACAAAGAGGTTCACAAATTTGTATTTATCAGAAAAGAAAAAATTTTTTATATATAAATATCCGAATTATATTTGTTTTAAAAGAAAAAGATATCAAATCAAAAAACACACTTTTTTTACTTTTATTTTCTAAAAGTCATGTTTTTTTAAATAATATAACTGTGTTAGTAAAATCTAATACTAATCTTATGGCTTTTTATATTAAAAATTTTAACAAAATGTGTTTATAGGGATTAGTGACAAATTTTTCAAATCTAAATTACATAGGAAACGAACATGAAGTCATTCAAATTGATGATTAAAAAATCGTAAAGTGAAAATATAATAAATAACAAATTAATAGAAGATTTTACATTTTAGTTAGTGAAAAAGCAACTAAGAAGAGAATCATGATATTTTAGAAAGATGGCAGGCTTAAATTGACTTAAAAATTGCATTTAAGTATGCGAGTAGTACATAACTTTTTAATATATAGCGATTTTTGAAAAAGTAGTATTAATTTACAAGAATTTATGTAAAACACTCAACAGTTAATCAATCAAAACATTTTAAAGATCCAAATACAAGTGTTTAAACAATCACTGTAAGAAGACGGGGTCTGCTTTTAAAAATTATATAAATAATAGTGTAAAAATTAGAAAGCTTATGAAATCTAATTTAGCCAAATTTATGTTATTAAAAACTTATAAGGTTAATCCATTGTATAGCTGTTTGATCTTTTTTTAAACCTAGAAAATAAAATCTTTGTTGCTTTTTTAATCTTTTGAATTTCATTTTTTGGTGTAGAAAAATAAAAATTTTAGACCCACATTTTGGTCAATTTTGACTAACTTATACCTTTTATTTAAATTTTAATAACCATAAACTATTCGTAGAATATGAAGAATTTTAATGAATAATCCACTAAAATATAATTGTAATTAATTTGTTATACTAAAATTTTATCGAGCAGATAAATTGAACCTCGTTTATTGGGCTATTTTAATATTACAAATGGCCTAAATTTTTAAATAATATCTTAAGGTTATAAAAATAAGAATTGAAATAAAATAAATGTAATTTAATTTGAAAGAATCGTTAATTAATATTTAATAACAATGGAAGAATTTATTTACTTAACTACTTTTTTTTAAAACTTTTATAGTTTGTCTTAACAGTGTTAAACACATGTTTTACGCTTTTTTATTATTTACCCCCTAAATGTTACCTCCTTTAGAATATTTGACATTGTTTATTAAATCTAAAGTTACAGTTATAATGAAAGATGGGGAAATTTATAATGGTCTGCTAGAGGGTGTAGATAACCATATTAATATTATGATATCTGACTATAATGAAAATATGAATAACAAAATAATGTTCATAAGAGGAGAAAATATATGTTGTATAGGTGAGAAAATGTAATGTTAATATTGTATGATTATTTTTAATTCTTACTTAATTATAAAACTTAATGGCAATATTTTAATTCTTAAGCTTTACTAAATATCATTCATAAATCAATATAAGTATAAAAATATTTTATTTATCATTAACAAGATTTCTAAGAAACTCTTGTTTATCTATCTTCACAATTCCATCTATATTTATATTTGAAAGACTAATCTGTTTACCGTATACTACACATTTAGATATTTCAAATTTGTCTAACATTAAAATAAATGAATATTTTAACTGTCTCTCTCTTTTATAAAGATCTATCATGTTATACGCAAATTTAATATAAGAATTAATATTTAAAATATTTTTATATGATAATTTAAAAATAAGTAATTTATCAACCTTAGACACATAAGCTATTGAGTCTTTTATAGATTGTATACTATCATAAATATCATTTATCTTTTTATCATTAAAATAATCTGTAGGATTATTTAATAATAAATATGCTTCTGCACTTTGATTTTTAAATAAATATCTATTCATTAAAAAATAACAGTCTATTGATGTAATTTTATGTGTATGTCCTTTCTTTCTTATAAATATTTTACATGTATCTATAACACTACTAATATATTTCTTAGTAGTGTGATCTAAATTATTATATTTCTCTTTAGCTTTTACAATACTTATACCTTTTTTAGCTAAAAAGCTTTTAATTTTTATATCCTCTAAGTCTTTTCTCTTTTTATAAATAAGCTTGTATTTTGCTATAAAATACACGTCATGTTGTATACTTCTATACAAATTAGAATAATTTAATATTGGAAGTGATACATCATATTCTAGAAAGATACCATCTTTATCTTCTCGATCTAATTTTTTTATTTCTATACAAATAGTTGTGTACATTTCATTACAAGTAGTACAAATACTACTATTAGAATAATAATTATCTTCTTCACTGTCATCTTTAACTTCTTCTGATTTTTTGTACAAATAAATCTTATAGAAAGAAAATCCTACTATTAGGGCCCATAAAGACCCTTCATCAATAAAACTAGAATGTTTAAGTAACTTATACATATTGTATAAAATATCTAATCTATCGCTACAACAAAAGCAAACTTCCTCTCCAAAAAGTAAACGTTTTGTACTATTAATTAAATTTTCTATTTTCATAAAAGACAAGTTATTAAATGTGTTCTCTTTATCGTCCTCAATATCACTGGTTATATAATAAAATTCTGTATCTAAATCTAAAAGTGTATCTTCATTAACAAATACAATCTCATGCTTAATCATTTCCTTTTTAAGAATTGTGGTGAACATTTTAAGCGCACAGAGAGAAATAACATCACTTTGTACAAAAATACGGAGTAAAGATAATTTTTTTATGTGTCTGATAAACTTATAAGGGTCATTTGTGTGATACATAAACCCCTGGTTTTATTTACATTATTTTTAATATTTCCCGCCAAAAATATTTTTTCATTATTTATGCATTAACAAACAAATTTGTTTGTATTTTATTACAAAAAATATAAATTTAAATTTTTTGCATAAATTATATTCCCATGGCTAAACCAGTAGATAAGAAATAAAATAAATATAAAAAAATGAAAAATAAATATAAGGCGGTGATACAGTCATTATTAGAAGAAAGGGATAAATTAAATCTTAAGATTAAAGAAATGGAAATTTATTATTTGAGTAAAATAAAATGTTATAATGAGTTAATGAATGCTAAAATTTCAGATTTAAAAAATGATAATGAAGAAATTAATTTGAAATACTTGAGTGTATTGAAGGACATGTATTATAAATAATAGCATATTTATAAAAAATATGTAAATAGATTATTTATAAGTAACACTTTATAAAGTTCTATTTAGAAAAAATATGTAAATAGATTATTTATAAGTAACAATTATAGATAGAAAATTTATAGAATATAAATTACTAATAATGTTTATTTCTTTACACCAAAAAGATTACTAATAAAGTTTTTGTTAGACCAAAAACATAATAACGTTGTATTAATAAGATTTATCAGTACATCTAAATTAGATATCAGATAAATTTACTACAAACAGATTTTCATATTAAGATTATTTTTTTAATTAGGAGCATCCAATAAACTCCTTTTACAAAAGGATATCCTAAAAATATAAATTTTAGAATATAAAAAATAAATAAAAGAGGGGTTAGAAAATGGTAAGTGTATCTAACAGGGATTATAATTTACAGTTTAGAGAAGACAGTGATGAAAACTTATTTGAAAAAGGACACAATGAAAATGAAGCCAATTCATTGAAATTGAGTAAGTTTGTTGAGGAAGATTTCTATTCTCCCCACAGTACATTTGGATATAAAAATGAAGAAGATTTTAAATATCGCTTAACTGGAAATAAAAAGAAAAAAGATAAAAAAAGAAAAAGGAAAAATGATGAGAATAAAAGGATTAGTAATAGGAAAATAGTTAATTTACCTGCTTCTCAGCCATATACACGGTTTATTGATGGAGAGCATAGACTCTGTTTTAAATATAACACTAAAATCAGTGATGCAGTTTTAAGTTCCATGCCTAAGACAGATTTAGAAGATAATGAATTTTGTATTAGATTTGATATTGAAAATGTAGATATTAGTAAACTTAACGAGAAATTTAAAGCAGATAATTGTGTTTATCCTAGAGCAAATTTACCATACGAAATGTATGTAGGGAATAGATGGGAATATGAAACGGAATGTAATAGGCTTGCATGGGCATTTGTATCTTTAAATCCTGTATTACTTTATGGAAAGAAAGGACTTATTCAGAGAGCTGTAGATTCTTATAGAAATATTAATAAACAAAATAGGAATAGAAAGTTTACTAGTAGTGAAAGGTTTTCATCAGATTTTGACAAAAGAAAACACGCTTCTTTACCGCCTTCTTCTGTGACCATTAATTGGATCAGTAAAGGGATAAAGAAGAAGTGTAAAATATTTGTTAATGTTGACAATGTAAATTATGACAAAATTGACGAAGACTTTAAAAACAAGTACTCTGTTTTTATGGATGATTTCGATGAAAATTCATTTGGTCTCAGCAAGTATGAAAGTAAAAATAAAGATAACGAGTTAGCAATTAAAATAGCATTTTTAAATGTCGAAAATATGTCCTTTTGGAATGCTATCAAAGCCTTGGATAAAACTACGGTTTTAAAAAGGGCTATTGAAGCATACAAAGCTAAGAAGGATGAGTGTGTTAGTTCAGAAGATGACACAGATGCATCAGATTTGGTTAGTAAAGCTCATGAAGAGAATAGTGATGAAGTTGAAAACTTTTTACTTATGGGACATGATATATAATTTGTTTCAATTTATTAATTAAATTACTTTTATTTTTATAGCAAACGTAGTGCATTTTTTTTGATTTGTTAAATCTTTGGATTTGTATTTTAATAAATATTTCATTTGTGTACAACAACTTTCTGTATTTCTTTATTTAAATAAACAAGGGCAACCGACCTCTTTATTAAGAATACTTATTTCTTGTGTTTTTCGGCCACATTCTCCCTTCACAGGATTTATTTATGTCTAGACTCGGCGCCACGCTCCATTAGAAAAACTTTATTTTATAATGCTTCTGTATATAAACGATTAGTAATTAAAAATTGCTATATATTATAATTTATAAAATGCACTTTATGATAGTTACATATGTTATTCATTAGATTAACTAAACATTCTGCAACAGAACAATACTATTTACAACAAAAAAGACAAAAAATAACACAAAATTAGAAGCATTACTTACAATTGTTAATTAATATGCTAAACCTATCATTATCTAAAAGTAAATAATTTATTTAAACCTTATTCTTCTTAAATAAAGCAGTATAAAATTCTAACTGTCTCCCTTGTAATATTTCTCCCTCTGCCTTTCCTACCTGCCCAGGTCTACTTGTAATAACAGCATACAAGTATCCTTTCTCAAAACTCTCTTTAAGCTTAGGATCTTCAACATTCAGTGAAGATATTTCTTCACTAAAATTATCACTAGAAATCTTTACCACACTACTTTTTGTGATCGTGTTAGTACGAACGTAGTCATTATTCGTAGGATGATACATAACTTCAATAATCTTAGATGGTTTGACAGTGTCAGATGACTTCAATAAAAATGTTCCTTCACTAAGTCGTAAAGCCTTGTATTTTTTGTTACCACCACGTGCTCTTTTTTCTACCACTTTGGTATCACCAATCTTAGTTGCTGCCATTTGGCTGCCACTTCTGTTATTGCGCTTTTTTCTGTGTAATACAGATTTACCGCCAGATTTCTTTCTTTTGTGTTCTCCTCTGTGATTTATTCCTAAGATTATAATTTAAAATATTTCACTTACCCATTTGTGGGGTAAAAAAAATTAGAAATAAATTTTTAGTTAAATTTAAAAATTATGTGATTGATGTATGATAAAAAAATGTAAATATATACTTTTAAAATGTTTTAATATCAAAGATTAAATAACGGAAACAAAATTTAAATTTTTTTAAAAAATGGGCGATACCGGGATTTGAACCCGGGACCTCCTGCACCCTAAGCAGACATCATACCACTAGACTATATCACCTCGTTCTTGGCGAGGTTAGTTTACAGAAATAATTTTAAGCGTGTTGTATTACAAATATTATTTTGATAATTATTTAACTTTTATATTTACAATAAAAAATATTCAACTCTGGAATGATGGAAATAAAAAAATAAGTTTAACAAACGATATTATACATTAAAAATACAAGCACCGTTTTTATAATTAAAATAATACATATAAACTATTCATCACTTTTTTGTATTGTATAATGACAAAACTTATTCTTGTAAGACTTGTAAATAAATTTTTTATTTTTACTACCATTCACCTTCACTTGAAAAACTATCAACTTCAAATTTCTTAATATTTACACTTGATTTAGTATTATTTTGTATATTTTCCTTATAAACATCTAGAGGAAAGTTTATATCTTTAAACTCCACATTTGGAGACGGTAGTATTTTACTATTCGTGTTTAAATAAACTAACCTGTTTCCTATTACAGTTAGTGGATACTTTATATCTTTAAACAATAGATATGTTAATTTATTATATAAAGTATAAATATCATTATTAATTTTATAGTATAATTTATCGTTATAGCAAGTGGCCCACGTCACCTTACAAGGCAGAGTATATTCTTCTGTAGATGTAAACAATTCAATTACTGTTAATTTATCTGCAAATACAAAAATATATTTAGAACTGGTTAATATATAACTTATATTGGTTATATAAAAGTTAAATATTTCTTTACCATCACAGTCATATACTATTGTTAATCCATTGCTTATTAAAACGTAGTTATCTGTACACGCCACAACTGCGTCATTGTTACTTAGATCTTTTGTCCACTTATTTTTTCCGTAAAAAAAGGCAGTACTAGTATTACATAATAAGATATTTTTATTATAAAATGTTCCAATAGTACAGTCATTATAATCGCTAAGTTCTATATTCTGTTTAGATTTGTCATGAAAGATTAACTCGACTTTATTAAATTCTGGACCTTTTATAGACACTAAATATCCGATATCATTATAAAACAGTAGACTACAATCTTGTGAATCATTAATAGGAAATACACTGTTATGTACAATAGATATTTCTTCTTCTGAGCTACTACTGTCTATTACCTTCTTCTTACGAATCTTTATTCTTTTCTCTAAATTTTTATCATCAAATAAATTTTTAAGGTTAGTGGACACATTTGATCGCTTTTTTTCAGACCCTTTTAGTCGTTTTGTTTCAGACCCTTTTAGTCGTTTTATTTCGTCACTTTCATCAGAAATATATTCATCTTCATAGTAATCATCTTCATCTGTATAATATTCATCACCATTATAATTATATTCTTCATCCTCGTTAATTTTAACAATTTTTTCTTGTATTTTGTTTTCTTCAAATACTATATTAATCATCTCATCGTATACATCATCTAATACATTATTTACTATTTCTTTACTTTTATCATAAAATCCTATAAGTCTATTACGATCTTCGTCATATATAAAATCTATAAAACTTTTTTGTATTTCTTTAATTACCTGTTTATTATTAAAATCGTACACGATTATTCTATCATATGACATAACAAACAGTACGCCGCCGTTTCGAGAAAATGTGTATTTTTTTATGTAGCTGTCTAGTTGTAGATACGAACTTAATGAATTACGCGTCAGACAGTAAAGAATGCTTTTTTCGGCAATAAAAATATAAAATTTAAACACAAATAATGGTTCTACAAGATCATACACAACTAGTGAGGGGTAGCTTGTTACTTTACCACTTAAATCACTCACTAATATTTGTTCACCGTTACTAATAATATCTAGAATGGGAAGATTATGAGAATACGTTTTAAATACTGAAAGTTTGGATGATTTATATTTAAATTTAATAAGTGTTCCATCACTATATCCTGCATAAATAAAATCGTCAAGCGTGGCGAGCGCACACAATGCATTGTTTTTGGTAGATGAAGTGTGCAATTTAGTTGGTGTGTACGTTTTTAGGCAAAAATGTACTAAAGTTCCATCGTATTGTCCATACAATAGTATCGTGGGTGTAAAAAGAGCTATAGATTGTGGTGTAGGCTTTCTTATTGCGTGTTTTTCTTTTAGAGTAGGTAAATCTATTATCTGTAATTTTGTGTCCGTTAATTTTATTATAAGATTTTTTGTACTTAGAAGCTTCATAAAAAGGGCATTAAAATATTGAACAAACAGTAATTATTCTTTGATAATGTACATAATAAGTAGTTGTTTACAATAAATAATTAAAAATAATAATTTGTACGTATACTCCTTTTTGTTATATAAGATTTTTATAATTTGTAAGAATGAAAGCTTTTAAAAATCTAACAATACAAGAAAAACCAAGAAGAACAAAACAAGAGTATAAGAGAGAAGTATACAATATAATTAGAAAAAATAAAAAATATCAAAATGATTTACATTACGAATATTTTGTTGTAGAGTTATGTAAAGGATTACTGGAAAATGTAGATAGAGAAATAATTAACGAAGTTATAAAAGTTTTACAAAAAATGAAACAAAAATGTAAATATGAATCATCCAGTACAGAATCCTGACAATTTTGTCAGGAAGATTAGCTCAGTGGGAGAGCATCAGACTGAAGATCTGAGGGTCCCGGGTTCGAGTCCCGGATCTTCCATTTTAAAAAATGATTTTTTTTGTAAACAGTTATTTGTGGCAGAAAAATAAGTGCTTAAATTAATAAATAGATAAAATTTAATTGAAACAAAAAAGCTGAAGAATCTATGTACTTGAGTATAAAAAGAAGTAGCATTTGTAGGATGTATTAATAAAAATTAAGCATAAATGTGTGCTTGACATGTAATGTATTTTACATGTCAATATTTAAATAATTATAATAAAATAAACTCATTTTAATCTTAACAGTACTATTAAATAAATTTTCAATTAAAATTTATTTTAAAAACTAAAAACATAAAAAATAAATTAAAATACTTTATTCAATTTTACTTATCGCTATCTCAAACCTGCTTTGTATTTCATTTAACTTAATCCTATCTTCTTCATTACATATAAATGACACAGCTTGTCCTTCTGTCTCAAATCTACCTGCACGTCCCACTCTGTGTAGATATGTTTCCGGCGAATCAGGCATATCAAAATTAATTACAAAATTTACATCTTGTACATCTATCCCTCTAGACATCAAATCTGTAGTAACCATAATCCTATATTCGTATTTTTTAAAACTTAACAACCTTTCTTTTCTTTCATCAGATTTCAGTCCTGCATGTAAATCACCGGCCACTAGCCCTTTCTCTTTTAAAAAGTTGCATATTTTTGTAGGAAGAAGTTTAGCAGCAGTAAAAATCATTGCTTGATTATAAGTAGTAGAGTTAAGTACACTAACTAATTTGTTTAACTTATTACTCTGTTCCACTTCTACATACGACTGTTTTAATCCATAAAGTGTTAGTTTAGATTCATCGTCTACTCTAACGATAAAAGGATTATCTAAAAATCTAAGACATTCATCAGTGGTGTATTTATTCAAAGTGGCAGTAAACATTAATGTCTGTTTGTTGCGTGGCGTATTAATAAATACTTCTTGTGTATCACATCTCATATCAATATCACCTATCATTTTATCACATTCGTCCATAACAAAAAATTTAACGTGTTTTAAGTTAAGAGCCCTACGTTTAACAATTTCTGCTAATCTACCAGGTGTACCAATAAGAACAGAGGGTGAACATGTACCAAGTAATTTAATATCTTCTTCAATATCATTACCACCATAAACCGCACCTACAGACACATTATCCATCTTCTTACTAAATCTCAGATATTCTTGTTTTACCTGTTCAGCCATTTCTTTTGTGTGTACCATCACAATAATAACAGTTTCTTTATCAACTACTTTAAGCTGTTGCAAAGTAGATAGAACAAAAACCGCTGTCTTTCCTGTACCACTTTTGGCTTGACATAATAAATCTTGACCTAAAATAGCTTTAGGAATGGCCATTTGTTGAACTTCACTAGGGTGCTCAAAAGCAGCATCTTTTATTGATTCCATAAGTTCATCACGAAGTAAAAAATCTTTAAATTGCGCAGATGACTTAAGTTTAGTCTGCGACTTTTTAACTGTTTGTAAATCTTCACGGTAATCAATTAATTCGTCGTCGCTCATTGAAGAGGGGTAAAATAAAAAAAAATATAAGGATTAAATTAACAAGAAAAATCTTTTTAAAAACCTTGAATAAAAAAATAAATCCAAAACAAGCTATTAAAAAATGTTTCCTATTTTACAAAAAAATAAGGTTTTATAATTGGATGCAGTTTTCAGTTAGGTATGAAACTGTAAGTTTATACAGATAAGTTTAATACTTTTTGACAAATTACCAGTACAATTTGGTCTTTATAATTAATGATCTTTTAAAACATGTGCTATGTTGATAATTGGACAACACGGTTACAACAATATTACAAAAAAAAATTAAGTAGCTTCTCTCTACTCAAATAGATAATTAGAATTTACAAATTTTATATTTGTATTATCATATTTTTAAGAAATATTTTTAACATTTAAACGGTTATTAAAAAAATTTAAAGGAAAACAAATTAGTATATTGATATTTATTACTCAACTTTAAATTTTAACTTCTGCTTCATAAAACTTCTCGTAGCATTGTT